CACGCCCGGTACGCCCAGCTAATTTTTGTAATTTTAATAGAAACAGGGTTTCTCCATGTTGGCCAGGTTGGTCTGAACTCCTGACCTCAGGTGATTTGCCCGCCACGGCCTCCCAAAGTGCTGGGATTACAGGAGTAAGCCCCCATGCCCAATCATTAGTATTTCACAGTATTCTACCACCTACCTTGTATCAGTTTCAGATTTATGTTTCATCTCCATGATCTCAATCATGAAGAGATCAATAGGTTCATCTTGTTTTTTAATGGCCAAAATGGAGTCCACTACAGCCTGCAATTGGAGGAGCATAACCATTAAGTAAATTCAATTTGCAGCAGCAGAAACATCTTGCTTTTCCGAAGGCTAGACAGTTTCATTTTACAATTATACACTGATTTAAGTCTTTTTCTATGAGCAAACAGAATATATGTAAACAGCAACAACTGAAGCCATTTACATTTCTGAAATCTCAATCTGTAATTCCCAAACATTAACATTAATTAACATTAACAATTCTCCTGTTTCATTAAAAATACTAGTAACTTGGAAGCTTTCTAGTAACATCTCCACTTTACAAACCTTTTAATGAAAGCCTCAATTTTACTTTTATAACCCAGTTACGTATGCTATTATTTGAATTTCCTCATTTTAGAGACACAAATTAGGTATCATTGCCCCAAAAATGAACCTATACAGCACCTTGTAATTGAAATCGGGAATTATATTCATGTTTCTACTATCAGAGATTTTCTATATAGGTGTACTATACCAGACACAGACAACATTTAATACATACCTCTGTTAAGACATCTGCAAGTTCAGCATGAACTTTAGTACGAAGAGATGTTCTGGCCACATCTATAAGTGTTTCCCTGTCCATCTCTCTGCTTACTTTGACTTCTTCCAAAAACTGAAGGGCCTTTTCCTTTGCAGCTTCAAATCCTTCAGTGATTATTCTGGGATGAAGGCCCTACAATAAACACACATTAACACTTGCATCAAGTAGGTGCAACCACAGTTCCTGACAAAGTTCAGTTAATTCCTGAAAGGGTATTCTGGATCATCATACCTTTGAACACGAGGTAATATAATGTGCTGGCTTTCGGAATACATTTAAAAGGATAAATATTCCTTTCAATGCAGAGAAGAATACGTAATGCTCTAGCACAGGGTCAAAGCCAAGGAAACTATAAAGCACACTTGGGTATTCACTGTGCAAACCACTCTGAATCATTTCAAAATCGACACTGTGTCCCAACCAAGGACTCGCAGATGGTAACATTATTCTATCTTTTCTTTCTTTTTTTTTGGAGACGGAGTTTCGCACTTGTTGCCCAGGCTGGAGGCAATGGCACGATCCCGACTCACCACATCCTCCGCCTCCTGGGTTCAAGCGATTGTCCTACTTCAGCCGCCCAAGTAGCTGGGATTATAGGCATGCGCCACCATGCCCGGCTAATTTTTGTATTTTTAGTAGAGATGGGGTTTCTCCATGTTGGTCAGACTGGTCTCGAACTCTCGACCTCAGGTGATCCGCTCACCTCGGCCTCTCAAAGTGCTGGGATTACGGGTGTGAGCGACCACGCTTGGACTATTCTCTTTTCTATAGGTAATCTCAAACTAATTCACATCATTTACTAATTATTTAATAAAGACTGCTCTCTTTTTCCAGGAAATTCTGACAACAGATTCATACTCACTGAGGTTTGTTTTAACCTTGGAACTAGTCAGGGCTTAAAAAAGTGGAATTTATCCAAATATAAGCTTTTGGATGCTTTTTTCCTAACAAATATTCCTAGTCCTAAACATTCCACTTTTAGATCTAAATTATTAATCTACACTAAGGACAGATACAAATCACATAGGCAATGCAACTTCATTACAAAATTATTTTCAGGCCAAGAAAGGTTCCATAACCTGTCCAAGGTCACAATTTGTTTTAGACCAGGACAAAGACCCAGATTTAAGCCCCCTAGTTCTACTGTATGGCCTCAGCTATTAACAGCACATCAATTTGTATAAATAAGTATCAGACACTTCCTATATACAATAAAATATTACAGAAACAAGAATTGTGCATACTTCAGAAATGTAGAGATCCGCCTGTTTCAGTAGTTCTCCAATGATTAGGACATTGGAAGTCGTACCATCACCAGTTATATCATCCTGGGCTGTTGCTACCTTTGCTATTAAGGAAGCCGTTGGATGTTGAATTTGCTGAAAGTAGAAAAAGAAAGAATCACTTAAAACAACATGAAGCAGTCTAAATATAACACAAACAAAATGTAGGAAGGGCCTCTTTAAGTGCTATCTACTTGAAAAAGCTACCCAAGTGTTTGGCTACAAATTACTTCGATTAGCTATCACGCACATGTAATTATGATTGAAACGTTTTCATGTGTAATTTATTTCCCAGGTTATCTCTACTTTACAGATGAGGAAGCTTGAGGCTAAGTAAAAGTTTACTCAAAATGACAGAGCTACCAGTTAACAGTAAAACATAATTTTACATCCTTGCCTCTTTATGGCAAGTGTATGGCTCTAGTGAGAATAAGTCAGGTATCTCCTAAAGGGCACACACATAGTAATTATTTTTGTAGGTTTGTAATTTTTTCAAAGAAAACTGAAAGACTTCAGGAGATTGGAGAGAGGTTCCAGTGGGAGGAGACTTCTGAGGTGGTAGCAACAATTTATTTCTTAGCTACAGTGGTGGTTGTGTGTGTCCACTTTATAATTTTTTCTTAAATTGTAAATGTTCAATGTGCTTTCTCTACTTATGCTGTATTTCCCACACACTAAAACCCAAATAATTTTTTGTTTTGTTTTGGAGACAGTCTCTGTCACCTACATTGGAGTGCAGTGGCACAAACTCAGCTCAATGACACCTCAGCCTCCCAGGTTCAAGCAATCGATTCTCCTGCCTCCGCCTCTGGAGTAGCTGAGACAACAGGCGTGCAGGACCACGTCCGGCTAATTTTTGTATTTTTTGTAGAGACAGAGTTTTACCACGTTGGCCAGGGCTGGTCGTGAACTCCTGGCCTCAAATGAGCCACCTACCTCAGCCTTCCAAAGTGCTGGGATTACAAGCACGAGCCACCGCACCCAGCCCCCAAACAATTCTGACATCAAGTTTAACTATGCTCCACTTTTCCAACACGGGCCACCATTGAGCCCACTAAAAACAAACACTACACCTCCTAGGTTACCAAGTGCTTACTAAAGATATTTCATTTGGATGTTGATAGCTTGGTACACTACTAGCAAAACCCTAAGTATTATTCTGAACTCAAATCAGCAGGAAATCATTTCCTGTTCTTGAACTGCTAAGTTTTGGGAATTCAGGGGATGAGTAAAACGCATACTCCTCTCAATAATCTCATATTCTCCATCCCTAAGACTTGCAAAGAGACAGATTTCAATCCCCTCCACTTGGAGATGGAGATGAGACCTAACGGAGAAATTGCTGTTTTAAAAAGAGAAAAACCGGCTGCGTGCGGTGGCTCACGCCTAGTAATCCCAGCACTTTCGGCGGCTGACGCGGGTGGATCACCTGAAGTCAGGAGTTCAAGACCAGCCTGGTCAACACGGTGAAATCCTCTCTCTACTAAAAATACAAAAATTAACTGGGAGTGGTGGCCCGAGCCTGCATCCTCGCTACTTGGGAGGCTAAGACAGAAGAATCGCTTGAACCCGGGAGGTGGACGTTGCAGTGGGCCAAGATTGTGCCACTGTGCGACACAGCAACACTTCGTCTAATAAAAACTAAAAAAAAAAAAAAAAAGAAAAATCATCCTCATGCATTTTGCCCATGTGATTGTGTCAACCTCTCTTAATTTTTCAAATTTTATAATTAACTTTAATATACAATTACAGTCCGTTAGCCCAGACTGTGAATAGCAAAAAAGCAGGGATTCAAAGGCAGAGCTGTCAGACTCCAGGCACTGTGAGTACTATTACTGATTACATGCCACTTCTAAATGTTCTCCTGCCTTGAAAACGGACACTGCAAATCTTTCTACAAAGCAAACAATCTACGGAAAATCAAGACCTTTCTGACCTAGAGCAGAGCACCTCTCACCATTTCGTGAAGCAGCACGTTGCCGTCTTTAGTAAGTTTGATGTCTCCAGCGCCAGAAACGAGCCTGTTTAAGGGACAGAAATGAATCAGACGTGACTTTTCAACGACAACTAAAAGTCCCATTAGAAAACGGGCTCTTCCCAGATCTTACGGAGCCAGGGATATGGGGCTAGTTATCTCCCGCAGGCTGGAGGAACAGGTGTAGTGCCCACCCCGTCCCCGCAGAGATTGTGCCGAGTCCTCAGAGTGCCTGGAAGCCCCAAAGGGAGGGGAACGCCGCGCTCTAGAGCCGCTTTGTTCTCCCCGGAGACGGCATGGACGCTGGAAGAAATGGCCGGGACGGTGGGGCTTAGCAGAGAACAGGACCGACCCCGAAGGACGCGGAGAAGGGCTGCTGCGGAGCCCCGAGGCGGCGGGCTCCAGCCCGTGGTCCCGGACCAGCCAGGTGCGTGGCGGCGCGCGGTGCCCACCCGGCCCTCCCTTCAGCCCCGCCTCACATCTTCATGGTGCCCTTGGGCCCCAGGTTGGTCCTTAGCACGTCCTGCAGACCCCGTGCCGCGCTGATGTTGACCGCCAGGGCCGCCTGCGCTCGGGCCACCTCGGCCTTGGGGTTCAGGGTTTTCACCGCCGCCATCGCTGCTCCAGCGGAGGAAAAGGAAACGAGGCTGAGAACCCAGAGCCGGCGCGGCGTGGCCAGGAGGAACTATCCGGGTCTTCTGGAAAAGTCGGCGCGTCCGGCCCGCCCCCAGCGTGCCCGCGCGCCTCCGCCATTGGGCCACAGGTCGTCCGGGTCCCGCCCATTGGTCCGTGGCTGCACGGCGCCTACGGTCCCACCCCTCGCGCGGCGGCCGCGGCGTCATCGCGCACGGGAGGAGCCTATTCTCGGCCGACCGTGCTCCTTGGTTCCGGTGTCGCAGCTCAGCGGGGCCCAGCTTTGTGGACCCGGGAGCCCAGGACGCAGGCGGGGCTTGTGCTTCGCGGGGGCAGGCGTAGGGTGGGCCTCCTCCCGCCTCTACTCTCGCGGTTTGCTGCTCAGTCTCCTTTCTTTGCTGATTTTATGCCTTTCTTTTTTTGAGACGGAGTCTCGCTCTGTCGCCCTGGCTGGAGTGCGGTGGCGCGATCTCGGCTCACTGCAAGCTCCGCCCCCCGGGTTCACGCTTTTATCTCTTGTCATTGGAGCTTTCTGGACCCTGAGCTTGACGGTGCCCTAGGTGCCGTGGAGACACACGCGAGTCTGATAAGCACCCTGCCCCGGGATCATGCGGTGCTGTGAGGCCTAGCGAAGATGAAGATAGAATGCAAGGTAGAAAGTGCTGGATACCTTTAGAAAGCTGCAGAACTGGTGCGATGGGAGTTGAGACGTAAGAACCTGCCCGTCCGTAGGGCTCTGGATGCTGCTGAGGCCCGAGGCCCCCATGGCACATTTGAAAACTCACCCTTGTAGAGTCATTCCTGCCTTTGAGAGGACTCCCTGTTAAGGTAAATTTCCAAAGAGCTCCACAATTGTTTCCAGTATCCAGTGTCCCGCCAAATACCAGGGATTCCGTAACACGTGATATTTTACTTTATTTACTTATATTATTTTTGTAGACATAGGGTCTCACTATGTTGCCCAGGGTGGTCTCAAACTTCAGAGTTCAAGTGATCCTCCTGAGTTCAAGTGATCCTCCCGCCTCGGCCTTCCAAAGTGTTGGGATTACAGGCGTGAGCTGCGGCGCCCGGCTGATATTTTATTTTTAATAAATAATGGAAATTGTTCTGAATTCAAAAGGCACCAAAGGGCATGTGGTGGAAATTAAATCTTCCTCCCACCTGTAGTTCAACACTAGAGACGGTCGGGCGCGGTGGCTCAAGCCTGTAATCCCAGCACTTTGGGAGGCCGAGGCGGGTGGATCACGAGGTCAGGAGATCGAGACTATCCTGGCTAACATGGTGAAACCCCGTCTCTACTAAAAATACAAAAAACTAGCCGGGCGTGGTGGCGGGCGCCTGTAGTCTCAGCTACTTGGGAGGCTGAGGCCGGAGAATGGCATGAACCCGGGAGGCGGAGCTTGCAGTGAGCCGAGGTCACGCCACTGCACTCCAGCCTGGGAGCACAGCGAGACTCCGTCTCAAAAACAAAACAAAACAAAACACTAGAGGCAAAGTTACCCCTGGATACTCTATGAATTTTCGGAATGCTTTCTGAATTTGTAAACTTATATATGAATATAATCATTTCCTCACACAAATGGCAATTCATAATACACACTGTAGGGTGTGTTATACTTTAAGTGTCTTGGAGATTGTGCTATATCAAGACTAATGGGAAGTCCTCGGTAACAGCTGCGTGATGTTCTTTGTAAGAATGACACAACTAGGGGCCAGGGCTCAGTGGCTCACGCCTGTAATCCCGGCACTTTCGGAGGCTGAGGCGGGGGCATCACTTGTGCCTGAGAGTTCAAGATCAGTCGAGGCAACATAGCGATACTCCGTCTATACAAAATATACAAAAATTAGCCGGGTGTGGTGCTGCACGTCTGTGGTCCCAGCTACTTGGGAGGCTGAGGTGGGAGGATCGCTGGAATCTGGGAGGCGGAGGTTGCAGTCAGCTATGATCTTGCCACTGCACTTCAGCCTGGGCGACAGAGCTGACCCTGTCTCAAAAAGAATGACACAACTAACTGGTCACCTACTGACTAATGTTTAAGTTGTTCCCAATCTGCTATTCAGGCTGCAGTGAATATCTGGATATATGATGCTTTTAGGTGGGTTTGTGTATTTGAGAATCACAAAAACATCTATATATGTGACTAGTAGCACTGCACAATAGAAGATTAGTTATTAGTTCCATAGGCATTACATGGTGTGCATTCAGATTTATTATAACTGCTCTTAAAAATGTTATGAGGAGGCCAGACATGGTGGCGCATGCTTGTAATCCCAGCACTTTGGGAGGCCGAGGCAGGCGGATCACTTGAGGTCAGGAGTTCAAGACCATCCAGGCCAACATGGTGAAACCCCCGTCTCTGTAACAATACAAACATTAGCCTAGCCTGGTGGTGTGCATCTGTGATCCAAGCTACTAGGGAGGCTGAGGCATGAGGATTGCTTGAACTCAGGAAGCAGAGGTTGCAGTGAGCCAAGATCATGCCACTGCACTCCAGCCTGAGTAACAGAGCCAGACTCTGTCTCAAAAAAAAAGGCCAGGCACAGTGGCTCACACCTGTAATCCCAGTACTTCGTGAGGCCGAGGTGGGCAGATGACTTGAGGTCAGGAGTTCAAGACCAACCTTGCCAACATGGTGAAACCCCATCTCTACCAAAAATATAAAAAGTTAGCTGGGTGTGGTGGTGCACGCCTGTAATCCCAGCTATTTAGGAGGCTGAGGAAGGAGAATCATTTGAATTCTGGAGATGGAAGTTGCAGTGAGCCAAGATCATGTCACTGCACTCCAGCCTGGGCAACAGAGCGAGACGCCTCAAAAAAAAAAAGGCCAGGCACAGTGATTCACGCCTGTAATCCCAGCACTTTGGGAGGCTGAGGTGAGCAGATCACGAGATCAAGAGTTCGAGACCAGCCTGACCAACGTGGTGAAACCCGTCTCTACTAAAAATACAAAAAACAAATTAACTGGGCATGGTGGCCGGCGCCTGTAGTCCCAGCTACTCCGGAGGCTGAGGTGAGAGAATGGCATGAATCCAGGAGGTGGAGCTTGCAGTGAGCCGAGATGGTGCCACTGTACTGTAGCCTGGGCGACAGAGTGAGACTCTTTCAAAAACAAACAAACAAAAAAAACCTAGAGGATGGGTTAATGGGTGCAGCAAGCCACCATGGCATATGTATATCTGTGTAACAAAACTGCACATTCTGCACGTTTCCCTGAATTTAAAGCAAAAAAAAAAAAAAAGCCAGGTGTCGTGGCGCATGCCTGTATTCCCACCTACTTGTGTGGCTGAGGCAGAATTGCTTGAACCTGGGAGGCGGATGTTGCAGTGAGCCAGAATCGCAGCACTACACTCCAGCCTGAGTGATAGAGCGAGACCCTGTCTCAAACATAAAAATAATTTGTAAAAAACAGTAAGAAGAATTCCCATACTCTACCCACAGATCCTTCTATTGTAAACATCACATTTAACCCTGGAATAAGAAATTAACATTGATGCAGGATCCAATCAATAGATTTCATTCAAATTTTGCTAATTATATCATGAATGTTCTATCTCTGGCCCAGGATTCTATTTATCTAGAATTACTCTTCACATTTACTTGTCACGTTCTTCAGTCTGGAACAGTTCTGCAATTTTTCAGTCTTTAATGATCTTTGCATTTTTTTTCAGTACTGTCTTGTTATTTTACAGACTGTTCCTTACCTAAGGGTTAGTTGATGTTTCCTTATGATTTTTTTTTTTTTTTTTCAAATTTTTTAAAGACGAAGTCTCGCTCTCGCTCTTTTGCCCAGGCTGGAGTGCAGTGGCGCTATCTCTGCTCTCTGCAGCCTCCACCTCCCGGGTTCAAGTGATTCTCCTGCCTCAGCCTCCGGAGTAGCTGGGATTACAGGCACCCACCACCATGCTGGGCTAATTTTTGTACTTTTAGTAGAGTTAGGGTTTCGGCATGTTAGCCAGGCTGGTCTCAAACTCCTGACTGCAGGTCATCTACCTGCCTTGGCCTCCCAAAGTGCTAGGATTACATGCATGAGCCACTGCACCTGGCCTGATATTTTCTTATGTTTAAATGCAGGTTATGGCCGGGCGCAGTGGCTCATGCCCGTAATCCCAGCCCTTTGGGAGGCCAAGGTGGGCGGACCATGAAGTTAAGAGATTGAGACCGTCCTGGCCAATATGGTGCAATCCCGTCTCTACTAAAAATACAAAAAATTAGCTGGGCATCGTGCTGCACGCCTGTAATCCCAGTTACTCAGGAGACTGAGGCAGGAGAATCACTTGAACCCGGGAGGCGGAGGTTGCGGTGAGTGGAGATCACGCCACTGCACTCCAGCCTGGGCTATAGAGCAAGACTCCGTTATCAAAAAAAAAAAAAAAAAACCAAAAAAAAACCCAGGTTGTTCATTTTTGGCAAGAACACCAGAGAGTATGTGTCCTTTTCAAGGCATCATAGGAAGAGTCACATGATGTCAGTTTTTCTCATTCCTGGTGATGTTAACTTTGTTCACTTGGTTAATATTTGCCAGATTGCTCTACTTTAAAGTTACTAGCTTTTCTTTGTATTTAATAAGCATTTAATAAACATTTTCTGGGAAAATATGTGACTGTTTTGTTTTTCATCATAACAGTGCCTACTAATTTAAGCATCCATCAATTTTGTTGTTGTTTTTGACACAGGGTCTCACTGTGTCGTCCAGGCTGGAGTGCAGTAGCTCAATCACACAGCTTACTGCAGCCTGAACCTCCTGGGCTCAGCTTCTTATCTCAGCCTCCTGAGTAGCTGAGACTTCAGGTGTACACCACTATGCCTGGCTAATTTAAAACTTTTTTTTTTTTTTTTTAGAGATAAGGTCATGCTGTGTTGCTTGGGTGAGTTTCAAACTCCTAGGCTCAAGCAGTCCTCCTGCCTCAGCCTCCCAAAGTGCTGGGGTTACAGGCATGAGCCACTGTGGCCAGTCCATCAATAATTTTTGCCTGAAACAATTATTACTGTGATCTTTGTATTGAAAGTCCTCCATGGATCTGTTGCGTGCTTACATGTCTTGCTGTGTGTGCCAAGAATGCAAGGCCCAAGAATGCTCTTTATTTGGGGCTTTTCTCAGAGTTGTTTATACAGCTACTAATCTTCAGAGACAAGTTAATGTTTCCTCCTGGACAAAGAGCAGGCTTGCCCACTGCTTGGTATAAAAACAATAGATTTCAGCCTAGCATAGTGGCTCATGTCTATAAATCCAGCATTTTTTTTTTTTTTTTTTTTTTGAGACAGAGTCTCGCTACGCTGTTGCCCAGACTGGAGTGCAGTGGCGCGATATCGGCTCACTGCAGCCTCCATCTTCTGGGTTCAAGTGATTCTCCTGCCTCATCCTCTTGAGTAGCTGGGACTATAGGTGCCCGCCACCACGCCTGGCTAATTTTTGTATTTTTGTAGAGACAGGGCTTCACCATGTTGGCCTGGCTGGTCTCAAACTCTTGACTTCAGGTGATTTGCCCCCCTTGGCCTCCCAAAGTGCTGGGATTACAGGTGTGAGCCACTGCGCCCAGCCATCCCAGAACTTTGGAAGGCGAAGGTGGAGGATCCTTTGAGGCCAGGAGTTCGAGACCAGCCTAGGCAACACAGTGAGACCCCATCTCTACAAAAATAAAACGATAAAACAATAAACGAGGTGGGCAGATCACCTGAGGTTGGGAGTTCGACACCAGCCTGACCAACATGGAGAAAACCCATCTCTACTAAAAAAATACACAATGAGCCAGGTGTGATGGCACTGTAATCCCAGCTACTGGGGAGGCTGAGGCAGGAGAATAGCTTGAACCCAGGAAGTGGAGGTTGC